TCAATGTACAATATCGATCCTACCCTGTCGTGGAAATAATCCTCGGCGACAATCGCGGTAATGAACTAATATTACATACAGACATTTGGGGAAAACTGATGGAAAATCGTGGTGCTGTACGACGACTTCTAGAAGCGCGCAACCCATCGTACTTTCCGCTACGGATTCAAAATTTAGGAGTGAAATTGTTCGAGCTAAATGGTTCAAAAATTGTAAAATTAATGCAATCTTCTAAGAGTTTGTATTTGAGTCCTGCTACAATGAACAAGTTATTTACTTATGAATATTGCATTGATCATATATATACGCAGTTGTCTGAACAGTCGTATCTGGTTAGATCAAGAATTCTAACTTTTGTAAAAGATCTTCGAGAAAAAAAGTTACCGAAATGTGCAATGCGGTAAAAGCGATACGTGAAAGCGCTGCCTTTAACAGTGAGTCACTTATTGACTGCGAGCTGCTGACATGTGCTTCGAAAGATATCTTGCACGAAGCTATGAGCTATTTGGTATTCTGAGCTGTTTGGTATTCTGAGGAATAAATTACTTTGTTATACAGGGTACACGATTTATCTGAAGACATTGAAATATCTCGAGAACTATGCATTGGATAAAAAAGTGGTTAATGAAAGTTGTTAGTCTCGAAGGGGGACATCCAATGATATCAAACTCGCCTCCCACCCCACCCCCTGGGGGTGGGGGTTGGGGGCAACTTTGAAATCTTAAATGGAAACCCTCATTTTTTATTACAGATACGGAATATTTGTTATAATGATTTTATTTCATTCATGCCTACTTATTGTAGAACTGGAGCCTGAAGTGCATCTATATATATTACTTTTCACTACATATCAGGTATAGTAAAAAGAAATCCATTATTTTTCCAATATATGGCTTTAGTTATCTGTATCTCGCGTTGTATAAGTCCGATCGGGTTCCACTAGATGGCGTTAAAAACATGAGATTTCGTACTCAAAAAACTTTTATGACAGTTTTGTGATTAGTTGACTCAGTTTTGTTTGAGCGCGCGTCAAAGATGGACACTAGCAAAGAGAAAATACGCTATATTTTACAGTTTTTCTTCGATAAAGGCGAAAACGCAAGCCAGGCGGCTGAAAATGTGAATAGTGTTTATGGTCCTGATACTGTAACAGCCAATCACGCGCAATTTTGGTTTCGTCGATTCCGTTCCGGTAATTTCGATGTCAAAGATGCACCACGCTCTGGAAGGCCAATTGTCGACAATATCGATAAAATCATGGACATTGTCGAGTCCGACCGTCATGTAAGCACTGTTTCGATTGCCCAAGAGCTAAAGATTGCACAAAAAACCGTTTGGAACCATTTGAATAAGGCTGGATACAAAAAGAAGCTCGATGTATGGGTGCCACACGAGTTAACGAAAAAAAACCTCATGGACCGAATTTCCATCTGCGAATCGCTGCTGAATCGCAACAAAATCGACCCATTTCTGAAGCGGTTAATCACTGGTGATGAAAAGTGGATCACTTACGACAACGTCAAGCGAAAACGGTCGTGATCGAATCTCGGTGAGCCGGCGGAAACGGTGGCCAAGCCGGGATTGACGGCCAGGAAGGTTTTGCTGTGTGTTGGTGGGATTGACAGGGAATTATCTACTATGAGCTGCTCCCCTACGGCAAAACTCTTAACTCGGAACTGTACTGTCAACAATTGGACCGTCTGAAGGAAGCAATCGCCCAGAAGCGGCCAGCTTTGGCCAATAGGAGAGGAATTGTGTTCCATCAGGACAATGCCAGGCCACACACATCGATAGTGACTCGCCAGAAGCTCCGGGAGCTTGGTTGGGAGGTTCTTATGCATCCACCTTATAGTCCGGACCTGGCACCAAGTGATTACCATCTGTTCCTGTCCATGGCGAACAATTTTGCTGGTGAAAAATTCGCTTCAAGAGAGGCTTGTGAAAATCGACTGTCTCAATTGTTTGCCAATAGGGACGAGAGCTTCTATGAGAGAGGCATAATAAAATTACCTTCAAAATGGCAAGTTATCGAACAAAACGGCGCATATTTGACCTAACTCGGATCATTCTAACTATGGTAATTAAAGCCTTCAATTTCATGCAAAAATAATGGATTTCTTTTTACTACACCTGATATTACAATAATTTTTCAAGTTAATCAGTAAGAATAAAGTATAGTAAGAATAAATCGTAATCTTCTTAAAAAAATATTAAACAATCTGTGTATAAGAGAAAATTTATATTAAAATCAATAAGATTTGCATCATACATATAACATATAATTCCTCTAACTTTAAGAATAATGTGTTTATAATATCTCTTAATTTTAGAGGAATCTTCTTAAGGCCATATATAAGAATAATATCCTCTAAAATTTAGATGATTCCGCTTGTTCCGAAATTACTTTTTTTTGGTTGTAAAATATGAATCTTGACACCTCGGGTATGTTAGCAAAAATTATGTAAACAAGAGCAAAGCGAGACGATTTTTAGTTATTAAAGATTAAATTAAAAGTCACGGTTATAGCATTGCTGATTGACTGTCAGATTCAAACGTCAAAATCGCACGGCACTTCGGCATCCTGTTAAATTGGAATTCGACCAAGAACCTTTTCTCAGGGCATAATACGTACTTTTCTTACTCTCCTTGCTATTATGAGCATCTTTGCGACGCCAGGACCATTCGAGTCACCTACAACGATATGTAAGCCTGCGATCGTTGTGCGAAATAATTTTCTCAAGCAAGAGTGAACACTCGTACCTCTGGTGCTCTTTTGCATATAGTATGTTATCCTACGACAGATACACGTGATCTCATTTATCGAGTTGATTTTCCTTCTCATAAGAAACGCGTGCTTACCGAAACAATGACGTAGGAAATTACGTTCTCTATCATTTTTGTATTGAAATAAAATTGCAAGTTTATTATGTTCTTAATACCTTACCTGCAAAGATGTTCGCGACGGAAGGAAACGGCCAATGCATACCTAGCTCGCAGTATTGAGTTGATGAGATAACTCCTGAAAATCGGCATCACGCAGCTTGACTTACCGTCTTTCGACCCGTATCGCGCAGAAAAAGTATCTTACTTCGTCAAAGACGACTCTGTTACTCTCCTATCGATTTCGGACATAACTATCTATGGCATTCCAGACTTCACGATACATAATGTTCGGTAAGCCATTATTAATATATAAATTGACGCACACCGGTCGAGATACATCTCTGAATAATTTACGCATGATTCAGATGAAGGATGATTGTCTCCATGTGGATCAACGTAAAATCGATCGATAGTCTTATTCTGCAAAACCGATCCATATGATGAATTCAATCACGGATCACGTGAGCACAAAACTAACATTAAATTGTTTTCAACAACTATAAACGCATTGTGTAGGAGATTAAATTTAACGCATACTTTCCATCCAACAATGTGTCAGCTAACTACGATATACATAGTACGACCACGTTTCTCATCTCCCAGTTTCCAAAGAACGACTTGACGAATATCAACGCTAGCATCGCTATACAAGGTGGATATTACGAAGACTGGAAAAGGACCTATAAATATTTCAACGTTTGTTACGTCAACGTCAACGTGGTATTCAAAAGCGTAGGGGATGTTAAGACCACCTCGGAAATAATAAGTAAATGGTATTCCCAATTAATCATCAACATAAATTACTATCAGCAAAACAACTGGGGAGCTATAACTTCCCGAAACATGCATGTAATTCAATTATTCGCATCTAATATTCTCCGAGCAACAAAGAGAGTGAGAAAGAAAGAGAGAGAGAGAGAGAGAGAGAGAGAGAATAAAATTTTCTTGAAATATCCAATTAACGTATTGCTGACGCTTATTTAGACGTGCAATTGTCTCAATTTTATCGCAGTGACGAAGCACCCATCACTATATGATAAATATTTATCTTCAGAACCAATTGTACGCAATTATTATTTCATACCGAGTAACCATTCACATGTATCGATTTACGAAACGTCTTTTCTGACAATGTTAGGTGCGCATTAAATAATCAAAAGTGCGAGCATGACAACCGCTTATGACAAAATTCGAATGACTGTGCATGGTATAAATAATTTATTGTACTTTTATCTTGATAGATAAAAATTTAATAAAAATACTTAGATTCATCGCGAATCTCTCGTTAGAGTTGTAACGTCGGATGATATCTCCTGCATTATCATTTCGGCTCCTTCATCGTTCTTCGTCATAATCAATCATCGAGCAACCTTGATCATTCGATGCACTTCTAACTTTGTCGTAGATAGCATTTACAAACCATTATGCAAATCAGAATAGACTTGGTTTTTTCAATGCAGCTTAGAACGTAACCGATAATAATAAACGATTTTGTAAAATAAAACATCATTCTAACACTTCCATATTGCTGACAGTTTTATCACGCAAATATAGTAGCACAAGTATGATACAAAGTGATTTTGTATTTTGAGAACATGTAACAAAGAGTTATGTATGTTAAAGAAAAAATTTGAAGCATAACACATTAATCCTTGACTAATTTAACGTGAAAGCTATATATGTGTATAAACATTCACGGAAAATATTTTATGCGCTCCCGAACAGATAACAGTGTGAGTTGAAGTTATTAAAATTCGGGGGAGATATATTTTTCATATTCAAATACTTTCTCGCTTAGTAAAATCTACCAAACAGAATTTCCCGATGTAGACGCGAATCGATCTTTCCAATTGTTAACTAGTCGAAAACTGACATCATCAATTTAAGTCTCAAAATGCGATGCGATAAGGTAAAAGCTGATGTTATAATTTTAATCGACAAATTATTTCGTTCCAAATAATCGCGTCGGAGGATAACAATCGTAAAGGGAGACCTTTTGCAAGGATTCAGCGAAAATATTCGTCATGTGTTTACATATTTATCGTTGTTCTTTCAATGCGTCTTCGCCTCAACGTTGAACAAGGAGATAACTTATGATTTACATCCTGTTGATGCGTGATCGCTGAGTTTAAAATACACTCTCGACGCGTCGGACCGATATGTTAACGAAAGTCGTAAAATCGAGAACAACGCGAGTGGCTGGATTATTGTCGAAATCGTACGGTTATTTATCACCACTGGTGATAAATCTACACGTCAAAATCGTTCAGTATTCGTTAAATTCGAAACAAGAACCTCTCCGCAGGTAAAAATGCATACCATCTTTGCGCTTTTCGTTATAACGAGCGGCTTCATCACGGAGATGTGTGCCAACTATTTAAGGGACAGATGTAAGTAACATTGCGATTGTCGGATAAAGTAATATTCTCCAACGAGTATCAGCACGTATGATGCTCACTTTCCTGCGGCCATCTTATAACAGATACGCGCGATCTTACATATTCGACGAACCGCGTCGATTTTTCTTCTCGCGGAACCGCGCGTTTTCCGGATCGAACGTAAAATCGGCTTATGCCGCTTTGATGTACATGCGAAAAAAAAATTGCAAGAACACTTTATTTTGTTGTTAGTACCAAATCTACATACATGTCCGAAATCGCGACTCCAAGCATGCTTACCGCGAAGCTTGGATTCGATGAGGCCTTACTTAGCGCAGAGTGTTCCGTAACTAAATATAGATTCTTTCGAAATTCCGTAATTAAGTATACCTTCTTTCGAGCCATATTATACGCAATTTTATAAGATGACCTTCGAAAACCAGTATATCCCTATGATAAAGTTTAGTGATACATATATCAACGGTATATCAAACTTCACGATAACTAGAGTCAGGTAAATAATTATTATCTAAACATTACATAAACACATCAGCGGATTATTCAGTACTGTTAAGCCAATATTTCACTTGTACGACGAATATTGTCAGATAGAGAATTCCTACAGTGTCCGAGGGGAGTGTTAAAAATGCGCTAAGCAATCATTTGACATATTCGCAAAATATTCGCCGTATAACAAAAGAAATTGTAACAACTTGGCCTAACGAGACGATCCACGTAGTGAATCCAAACGCGCTTTGTGACCAGCTGAGCACAAAATTACCCTAAAATTCTTGTTTCCAGAGTTGTCGAGGATCATTATATTGAGTTTCTGGCGCACTTTCCATTCGTCAGTGTGTCCACAAGTTCAATGCATACGTCTCATATGCGTCTCCTACGCTTATTAAAAATAGCAGATACAGATTAAATAGCAATTTTACGAACGTCGTTGCTGAAATTATTATACGAGGCAGGCATTTTGAGGACGAAGAACAATATTTTTACGTGAACAACGTCACCGTGGCAATCTTAAAGTTTGAAGGGATGAAGACTAATAAACAACAAAGAGGTACACCCGAAAACGTAACGCAGTTGGCAAATGATTATCTTGCACTTGAGTGGGATCCATTGACTTACGAAATAATTTATAACATCAAAAACATTGCAGCTGAGCTCATCCAGACCATTTGGAATAGGATTTACACGAATTTCCCAACTGTTATGTTAACGTCTCGTTAAAACGCATCGTCTTGATTTTATTGTCATGATGAAGAGATTAATCATTTTATAATGAGTGTAACTTGCTAGCACAATTAGTTGTGCATTACTTATTTATTATTTTGATACGGAGATTCGTATACGCTGCTTTAGAAAATGGCTTTTTCTTCCAATGGAGTTCGGTGCGCATCAAATGCGAACGAATGCTCGCGGGTTTGCGGTTGTGACAGAACTCGCATGATAGTACACTATGCACACAGTGCCTCTTTATTGTACTTTCATTCAATGGATAAAAGTATGATAAAAATACCTATGTTCCACGCGTTTTCTTCGTTATACTTGCAATGTTAGATATCTCGTATACCATCACTTCGGCTTTCGTCATAACTGATGAAGCTCGCGAGTTGTCGCTTGTAATTAGAACCATTTCGCGTTACCAATCTTATCGGTAATAATATATATATAGATCCTTCCTAGACCTAAAGATTCTACGCTAAAGGACCTTACGCTTTGTAAATTTGGATATACGAAATACGATTGTAAACTTGGAACTGAAACAATCTGGACAATTTTTTTTCGGAGCATTTTTCAACACCAGTCAATGGTTCAATAAGACAAATTATTTTTTAGCGGTCCAAAAATAAATTCTTTCATTGAAGCATCAGCTGTATCTTAAACAACATCCAGAACAATTTTGTCCTGACTGTAAAATAAATTCGAGTATATAATTATCCGGAAAGTACGCGTATACTTGAGAATTTCTAGAAAGAAAAGAATACGTGCAATAAGCGAGATATTTGTTTTCCTCGCAGAGAAAAAAATCCATGTAAGAGCGTTTGCAATATTGCGTTTGCGATATTTTTTCTTCGCGTGAATAACGGCGCTTAGATTATACAAATTTATTTGTAAATTTAACCAACGCAATAAAGAGTTATGCACGTATCAAGTGAAATTTCATATAATATGTAATTCTACATAACTCCTCTTACTCGTTTTCCTTCTCTCTTCCTTTCTCTTTTCAACAATGAAAAAATTCGACGGCAACGGTAGAAATATTTAATATTTTTAAACATTTTTCTTTCTCAATGTATTATCACTTGATCTCTTCGAATAATATCTAGCAAAATTCATCGATCCATTGCACTTCATTTTCCGCAGGACAAAAATAATTGTCCCATTATCAATGCTTTAAAAATTAAAGACTGCGTTTTACATATTCGCTTCGCAATGTATGTTCCTTTCAAGTAGCCACCTTAGCTAAGATCATAGGATTTCGTGAGAACTTTCGATGTAGATTTACAAGTTCCCTATTATTCTCTCGACAAATGCTTGGCACAATGTTAAGCCACAAGGCCGCTCGTGATTTGCATTGTGTGTACACGTGATCGTCGTGTCCGAAATACGAATCCTGACTCGTCGGACAAATATATTAACTAGAGACGTGGAAACGAGAACAACGCGAGCTGGCTAGTTGTCGTCGAAATCGCATAGTCGGAACATTATCGAGTAACAGTGAAATTCGCGCATTAAAGTCACTCAATATTTCGACGCAACATTAAATTTGAATTTGACCGAGGATTTTTCGGTAAGCCACAATGCGTGTTATTTTATTGATCTTTTTGATGAGCATGATGACCATGGTGAAGTCTGACCGCGATCTAGGGATTACGTGTAAGTAACCGTGCGATCATCTCGCAAATCCGAAAATTTTCTCGAACAGCTAACATTTGTAACTCCGTTTTAATCTCGCGAATAGAAGTCTATTCTAAGAGAGATACACTTAATTTGAGGTATTTTTCGAGTTGACCCGCTGCCTTCCGACGAATCGTGTGTTTTTCAAAACTGATATGTGTGAGAAAGTAATTGCGAACGCAGTATGTAATTTGTTCTTAGTATCACAACTGTACATTTGTAACCAAAGAGAGATTGATCTAGGGGTATGTATAAAGCACAGCATAGAATCATTAAAGCCTCACTTGAAGGATGGTGTTCATTCTTTGGGTATTCCGACGTTCAACCCGTATTATATACCGACTTACGAAATTTCCATGTCGGGTAAATACTCAAGCACCACGAAGTTTTCGGATATAATGATCTCCGGAGCAGCAGACTTCGATATAATGGGGTTCAAGTAAGTAATCGCGATAGAGCAGATCGACATACGACATACAAACATTCATTCGCAATGCGCGATCCAAGCGATCGTCTCATCCCGGATGTCGATTTTAGAGTCCATCATGTAACAATACACATAACAATAGACGTAATAATGTGGAGCTAATAGCCTTCGTGTATCACTGCAAACTCGAGTGTTGTTTTCATTCAAAAAAAGTAATTTCAGAACAAGCATTTAAATTTTAGAGGATTTTATTCTTATATGTGGCCACAAGAGGATTCCTTTAGGATTAAAAGGAACATATTATAAACGCATTATACTTAAAAAGTTAGAGGAATTATATGTTATATGTACGTATGTGTGTCTGTAATGCAAATTTTATTAATTTTAATATAAATTTCCTCTTATACACAAATTATTTAATTTTTTTAAGAGGATTATTATTTATTCTTACTATACTATACTTTATTCTCTTTCTTACTAGTTAAACTACTTAATTTGAAAAAATTATGATAATGTATAGCAAGAAGTAATGTATATATATATATAAATATACTTCTGGCTCTAGTTCTGCGATAAGTAAGCACGAATGAAATAAGACCATCATAACAAATAAATTTCCAATCAGTTTTGTCATGGACTTCATAGCTGCAAGATGTTCATCATAACCGATGGTATGAAACATAGTTGAAAGAAAGAAAATATATTTTCTAACTTCTTGCAATAGATTATAAACTGTATTTGACCAAATATGGGTAAATTATCTTCGTTATTACAACAACACATATACATTTTTTAAAAAGCTTTCTAAATATTCTGACCCATGAATATATGGTTATTTTTTCGTTCATGTCTGGAGATGGAGCATGACTAAACAAAAGAAGCCGACATTCAAATCAACATATTCCTCTTCATATAAAAGGAAAATTAATTGATATAAGAGAAAATTCTCTTGAAAACGGTTAGAATTTAATAAATTTTAGATGAATAGTTCACTTTAATCGCTTTATAGGAAACTCTTTTACCCGTAAACGGCTTAGAATATGAGGCTATAGGAAAAATCACTTTATAAATAAAGAAATAAATAAAAAATAATGTCTAAATAACGTCTAAATGAATTAAATGACGTAGCTTAAGACAACAAGAAACATGTAAAGAAAGCTTCAGACTATACGTGTCAAAATAACACACTCGGGTTTGCAATGTAGTACAAGGAGTATCGTCGAATTCCTGCGTCGCCGGATAAAGAATTTTCGCGGGAATTGTTAAATTCGACCGACAGATTCGACGACACTTGTCGTACGACAAATGGAACGATAATCTTCTTCGCCCGAGAAGAAGCTGCATCGCGAATTCGAGCGCGGCTGAATCTCAGCAGCCGAACAGCCATTCGACTATCTGGACATTCTCGTTTTCAGCTACTCAAGGCATCAGATAATGTTACAGGCGAAGTTCCCACAGATTATATTGCGCACAAAATACCAAGTGATGCCCAATTTTACGAGGCCCGTAAAAGTAGGCCGACTGACAACAATTTTTAGAAACGTCACCACCGACGTCGTTATAAATGGTGAACATTACGATAAACCGGAAACGGGCGAGGAATATTTTAAAGTGATAAATACCCAGGTGCAATTGAAAATCGATAAAATCTCGGGGACTAAAACGGCGAGCTATAACGAGACGATGACCATTGATTTGGATCAATTTTTGCAAAATCAATGGCAGACACTGATGCACGAAATGCACCGGACGGCCGAATGGTACGCTGCCAAAGTTATCAAGGAAACCGCTAACAACATCTATGCCAACTTCCCTCTGAGCGTATTATATCCAGAGTAGGCATCTTCTTGCCCTCGTTTTATAGCCGCGGCGACGAGCTAGTTGTCTTTTTTTGTGAAAATTGTAAATTATCATATATCAACATGCACGGCCGATCGCGCGCGTGTTATTCTCACAAAGTGAGAACTCGTGTGCGCTCGTTTGCATGATGGTTCGCGTTTGATCCTTTTTCAGACGAAGACGGTAATCGATCGTGACAGAGTCGGAATGTCGGTACGCGGTGTAAACGGCAGCTCTTTATTATATCTTCACCTGGGACAAGTAGAAATATAATGAAAGCACGTACGGAAGATTCTCGGTGAAATCACATTCCAACCGAATCCTCCGTCGCACTTGCAACGCCGGACACGTCACGTGTACCGTCACTTTCGGCTTCTGTCCAATGACCGATTAGCTCGCTCGATCATAGTCATTCGACGCGTTCTTTTAGCTACACCGGTGAAATCGCGCGCAGACGGTTGGCCATACGAGCGCGGACTTCCACTCGATTCGATTTCAACACTTCCCTCCCGATGCGGCTCGCAACGTCACCGATAGTTTAACGAGAGAACTTTGTAATTGATTCCCGGAAGTTGAGTTCTCTGATTGAAGCATCGGCTACGACTCGAGCCGCATCGCGAGTAAAGCGCGCAAATCGGCACGATAAAAATAAAACAAAAATACGGAATATGAGTATACATAGTATCAGCGGCGCAGGTCAGCAAGACATAAAGTATTTGTTTCCTGTAGATAAAAGAGAACTTTTTTCCAATGCATGCATAATATAGAGATTTTGTATCGAGACGACAGAGAAATAAAAGTTACGATATGCGCGAATGTACGAACTTATAAATTTGTACTTTGAGAGTGAAATAAAAAACGTTAGGCATGTGACCAGCGAATTCGAAAATAATTCATTCATCGCGAGTAACGTAGGCTCGCTTTTCGCCACGGAAAGGCAGTTCGCCTTTCAATGCAGTTCTCGCGCGCGTTGAATGCACTTGTTCCTGTCTTTATTCGAGTCGCTTACCCACGCCACGGCTTTCGCGTCGGCCGAGCATCGAAGACACCGACTCGAAAACATGGAAGATACGTCTTCAGGTATCCTTCAAAATAGCGAACGTTCGATGCCGGCAATGTTAACACGTGCGGAAGCGAATGCTTTTCAGTGGAAAATCCGTCGCGGCTGTGTGAGGTTTAGAAACGGAATTTAAAAAAAAA